CCCCAAAACCCCAAAACCCCAAAACCCCAAAACCCCGCAGTTTGTTTAGAAAATTGAGATTTTGAGAAATGTATTAAAATATATACTAGTAATAACTTCAGCTTGAGCATAAAAATTGCATATGGCTTTCTGAATCCATCCCTTTTTATCAAATCAGCCGAAACCCTATCTACAGACCCCACCAACCCCGCTGCCAAGTATGTGGCTAGAATCTCGACTACACTACCCACTCTCACAATAAAAAGTTCTGTAAACTATTGGTCTCCCAAATGAGTCATTAGTTTGTTTACGAAACAACTTTAATGAATTACAAGAAGGAAGCGCAGAGGCTCACAGCTCCGGCCAAAGTGGTGAAGGCTGGCATATAGCCGCTTGATGTTAAATCCGGGCAGCCTGAAGAACTGGAAGTGAGCGATTGTGATAAGGACAAGTTCTTTCCATTTCCTAAAATGGATGCCAAGTCGGAGACTCCCGAAGCTAAGTTAGCACTTCCTGCGTTGTTGAATCTGGCAAAGCATCTGACGTACCAGGTCTCTGTCTGGTTTGGCATGTATACAGAACTTGCAAGTTGGGTTGGAGTCAACCCACTGAAGGTGTAGGAAACAGTCTTGGCAGTGGAGTTGTTGGAGTTGAATCCACTAGGAGATGATACAGAGGTTAATGTAGATTGGGAGGAGGCAACATGAGCTGTTGTTTGTCCCCAATTAGGACCGGCATAGAAAGTGACTGAGTTGTACACTGCAGCCAAAGATGTACAAGTTGAATGACATTGCCATTCAATTCCAAAGCCCTTCAAAGTAGTGCTTGCAGTGGTGAGTTGATAATTTGAAGTGGCCACATTGACACAAGCTCCAGAAGCATAGTAACTACTTGTCATTGGAGCAGTTGTTGAGCCAACAGTGAGTCCTAAGGCAATATCAGAGTTACTGGTGTTGCTCGAATTCTGTGAAAATTTGATTGTGAACTTATAGGATCCACTTTCAGCAAGAGTTGTAGTAGTAGTTGCAATAGTGATTGCAACAGCTATTGCAAGCAGAATGAGAGTCTTCATTAAAATTATTTAATTATAATATCTCAAGGATCGCATCTTTATAGGGGTTTTGGGGTTTTGGGGTTTTGGGG